ACAAGGTCTTTGCAAATAGGGAAGGGTGGAGGGGGTGAAGGGAGGGCAAGGGAAGGGGAATAAAAATAAGAACCAAGAGACTCATGTAATGGTGCTAGATCCCAATGATGAATGTAACTATATTTTATACCGAAAATGTACCAATAAAGTTAATGGGGGGAAAAAAATAAAAAGTTATTCAGGGGAAAAAAAAAAAAGAGAAAGTGTGCCTTTAAGAATAGTGCAGAGTTAAATAAGGAGACAAGCAGGCAGTCTGACAAGCAGGAAGGGACCCAAGTACAGACAGGTGAGAATAGTTGCTGTATTTCATGGGCAGTGGGGACCTCTTCGGGAGGAAGTGGGTGTGGCAGTTAAGCTTAATTGTCAACTTGCTTGGCTTGAGAGCCACCTAAGGGATTCATAAAACATACATCTGGGAATGTCTTGGTGGGTCTTGGAGGTGTGACTACTGTGGGTACTATGTCTGGTCTCTGGCCCCTTCCATTTGTGCACTGTTCCCCTGCCCTCTTTCCCAGCTGCCTTAAGCTAAGCAGCTTTGTTCTACCACACTCCTTGGCCATGTTAGAGCCAGCCTTTTATGGACTGAAAAACTCTGAAACTGCGAGCCAAGAATAAACCTTTCCTCCTTTAAAAAAAAAAAAAGACAATTTATCTTAAAAACAAACAAGAAAACATCACCATCTTCACCCTTTCATCTTAGCCCCATTTTCTGGAAAGGGGAGTCAATTATTGTTTCAAATTCCTTATTCACCCATTGATTCTTCAATGCACTGAAATTTGACTTGTACTCCATCACTTCCGTGAAATTGTTCTTACCAATAACATCAATTGCTTCCTAACTGTGAAAGTCAAGCCCTACAAACTGCTGACCTTTCTCCTCTTCCTGAAAATCCTTATTAATTTGAAGTCTGTAACATCATGTGCACTCAGTTGTATCATTTTGGAACACTAATCAGCTAATCTAGCATGACTTTGCTTAATGCTGGTGTCCCAAGAGGTCCTTATTAATTCTTTTGTTCCTTACTGTTCCTGGGGAATTTCATTTAATCCCACATCTTTCACAACTACTTATATATCCAGTGAACCCAAATTTGCTTCCAGAATTCTATTTCCAATGTGTAATAACTACTGTGACTCACAGTACCCTCAAACTTTACATGTTAAAGTTGAATTAAATTTTTTTCCTCAACCATGACTCCTTTTATATTTCCTTTCCCAGTGAATTAGCAGAAGAGTCAGGGTATTGACTATAATCTTTTCCCTGGCGTCTATACTAGACTATATAATAAATACATTTCAAGGGAAATTTATATCCTCTATGTATTCCAAATGAGCTTTTGTATTAGATATCAATGAAAATTACATAAATTTAGCTGTTTAAAGCAGCATATTATCTCAAAGTTTCTGTAGGCCAAGAGTCCAGACATGGCTTAGTTGAGTCCTCTGCTCAGGGTTTCACAAAGCTGCAGTCAAGATGGTGACTGGGGGGAGGCTCCTATCTGAGACTTAGAGTCATCTTCTAAGATCACATGGTTGCTGGCAAAATCCATTTCCTTGCAGCTGTAGAACTTATGGCAGCATGACTTTTCAAGGCCAATAGGAGAGATTCTGATTTGCTTCCTCTTTTAAAGAACTTACTTGATTAATTCAGGCTTGTCCAGACACTCAAAGCCAGCTGATTAAGAACTTTAATTACCTTTTGCCATAATACCACAATAATGGGAGAGACTATCCCATTGCACTTATTGGATTCTCTTGGTTAGAAATGAGTTTCAGATCCCACTGGCACTCAAGTGATGGAGCATTAGACCAGGGAACCAGCTGTGAACATCATCCTAGAATTCTGCCTTCCGCCTTTACTAGCTTTAAAAAATATATATGCAAAGATGTAATTTGGACATACTACAAAGGTGAATACAAAGAGGAAAGTATAGAATTTTACTTCGAAGTTTTCACGTTTGATAGAAATGACACATATTTGACAGATGGAGAAAATTACTTTCCATGCTTATCCTATCCTACACTTACTGTTTTGGGCAGAGGATATGTCCAAGTATCTAAACTTTAGATTATATTATAAGAGCCTAAAAGGAACAATTAAATAAGTAGCTATAAAAGACAGACATTTAATTATGTAACTGGCTTAATTTGAAAACCATTTTACCATGTTAGTGTCATTTGTATTGAGTATAAATGTAATGTAATGTCTATAAGTTTTCTTATAGTTTTCTTACAGGTTTTCTTCAGTGTACATTAATTAAACTCTTCCAGCTAGGTATTTTTAAAAAAATACCCTCGACAGACTGATTTTCATCAGAAATAACAATCCTTTCTCAGCATAGGTAGTTTTCTTACAGTTTTAAATGACATATCTACAGAAGTTCCTTCATTCACAGCTTCCCTGCCTTGCTTCACACCCTCTGAGGGCATAGTCTCTAGCTCCTCTTGTATGCTTCAGAGAGATACTCTGGAGTTAACAAGACCACTGCTAAGGAGTGAAATCTGTGGAGAAGCCTGCTGTTTTAGGCCCTTCTTAGGGATGATTCCACTGGTATTTAGTGGAAAACAGCCTGGCTTGGGGATTTCTCTCTTTTCGACACTGGCAATGCCTGATGTGCATAGTCATGCGAAACCAGCATGTAAGTCCCTACAGATATGTGGTCACTTCTCTACTTTCCTTCTCTTTTGCCTGGGCAACTGCCACGTTGATGCACTGCAGCCATTCTTCTGCATTCTTCTCATCTTTGGCCTTGAAAACATAGGTTTTATTGTCTGTGAAGATTTCAAAAGCCCGAGGGAGAGAGCGGTCCCTGCGTTTCTTGGCCACAGCTTTCACACTCTGTACTTTGCTGAGTTCTATTGGAGACTCATCAGGATCGTCTTTCTGAAATACATCGTAAGGAAAAAAACATAATCTGGCTCCAGATCTCTGACCACTGGGAAATTTTCCAAGGTGTCCAGAACATTTTACTCCCTATGCCTCAAGACCTTTGGTTATTCTGGGTGCTAAGGCTCCAAGAGTCATTAGAACAACTAAAGGAGTGAGCAATAAGGCTTTGTTATAATATCATAAATTGATACAAGTTAGTCAATTTATACAAAGTTATTATAAGTGGGATTGGGAAAATGCTTGATTCATAGTTCTTTGATTTTCTATTGATATCAACACTGTACTAATAGAGCAAAAGACAGTGTAAAATTTGGAGTACTTTTCTTTTCTTTCTTTTTTTTTTTTTGGAGCATTTTTATCTTAGAATTCCAGATAGTAATAGGATGCACAACATTGGATTTTCCTTTGTGCTATCTCTGAGAAAGGATTTGCCGTGCCCTTAATCAAATAAACAGTTCCAATGTTTGAGTAGATGAAACTTTTTTGAAATCCCTGAAATTTTGGAAGAATGCTTTGTCTACAAATACACTTTGAAGTAATATTTAATGATGTTACATTTATCTTTTATAAAAGCAGAGGTTTAAAGATCTCTGTAGTACCAGGGTCATCACTGTAGGCTAGGGCAGATGATTCTAAGGAAATTAAATACTTTTGTAAAGTAATTTTAGGTCTTTAAAATCCCAGAATACATTTTGTTTACTGGAGAATGTACTGTGATTGAGAATCTTGCCAGTTATTCTTCCCCACACTCCTTTTTACCACTACTCTTAATTTGCAGTGAAAAGGCACCCTTCTTACCCCTCCCAAACTTTTTATGATGCATTGTCTGGCTCTCAGGAGCAACAAACAGGCAAACAAAAAACTCAACATACTGATGTCAGGGAAGTATCTATCAACCAAGGCAACTTAATTACTCTCTACCCATTTCATTAGGATATAGCATTTCCTTTTCAATGTTTAAGGATTATTTAATAAACTTGCTATTATACGAATGGATTTTTATGCATTGTATAGTCACTTAAAAAATAGTATAATCAGAAAAATCTTGATACTTAGAGACTGATGGTCACAAGAAGATAAAACAAATTGTAATTTACATGAAGAGTTTTATTACAATGAAAAATAGTTGGGCAATTGAAGTAAAATAATGTGGAGAGACAACAGAAATGTGACTTCAAGAAAAAATAAACTAAATATTTCTATTAAAGAACAGTTAATTTAAAAAAAATGAATGATAGTGTGTACAAAAGTGCTATGTTGTATTCCAATAGTTACTTTTAAAGAGTAGATTTGATCTTTTTATTTTTAATTGTTAATTTTGATAATTTAACAGAAATTGCAGTTTGTACAACTGTTTAAACTTATGGTAAAGGTGTTGATACAACTTAATGCTGCAGGGTATTGCATAGATTTCTCAAAAAAAATTTTTTTGAACTGGGGATCGAACTTAGGACCTTGGGCTTGTGAGATAGGAGTGGTACCACTGAGCTAAGTCCCTGGCACTCTCAAAATTCTTTTAAGGAATAAAATTTGAATAGGATAAAATTTGAAGATATCTGCACTATTAGCCTTTGTTTTATAAGCATTTGACAGTTAAAAACTATAGTTCTTCAAATTAACCTATAAAAATTGATGTATGGAGGAACTAATAAAGAAAATAAAAAGTTGTATTAATTGTTATGGCTTATGTTTAGATATCCCATGCAGTCTTAGGTGGAGCTTTTTTGGAGGTGGCTGACTCTTGTGTGATTGATTCATAGTTCAATGCTAGCCCCAAGAGCACTGGGATTAAGGGTGTGAGTGCCATCCGCCCTAAGTAGTCTGAATAAAATAAAAGGGGCAAAATGATGCTGTTAAGGTCCCTTGTTGCTTTTGCTGTCTTCCACTACCATGAACTGTTGCCCTTCTGCCACTCTACCTTGGAGCCAGCTGATTATGGACTGAAATCTCTACAAACTATAAACCAGATAAACCTTTCTCCCTTTAACTTTGGGTATCAGGTATTTTGTATCAGCAATGAGAGAAAAGTAACTAAGACATACTCTAAAGAGGAACAGTGAATCAACTAAGATAGGAATAGACAGAAAATCAAAGGATACTTTTGCCTAGTTGGGTAGCAGAAATCAAGAATTTAAGAATGCAAAAGTAAAAAATTACACTGTAGTCTTTCACTCTCAGTTTTCACTTAAAAATGCGTATTTCTCTCATTTAAAAGAAACTTGAGTAGGACTGTTGACCACTAACTGGTTATTGTGTCCCTTAAGATTTGAGGTATTTTGTTGTAGCCCTCATACTATATTATATTATTTCCCACTATTTGAGCCATATGTTCTGTCAGATTTCTGCATGCCAAACCATTGTTTCCTGATAAAGATTTCAAGAAAGTCAGCTAATTTTAAAATAGCCTATTCTTTAAACTTTACTTAAAAGCTCTGAATTAGAAAGTATACAGGATATTATTTGAGTTCTAGAAAATATTCTTACAGATTAACTGTTTTATCTTAAAGGATCTGAGAAATCATTACATCTTCACTTCCATCTCTGATTTCTTGAATAAATACAGGAAATTCAAATGGTCAATTTAAGTATTTAAAAAATGCTTCAATGTGAACCTATGTCAAAAATTCCTTAAAGAATTTAAAATTCTTTAAATCTTTAATAATTGTTTAAGTTGAACATGTTATATACTTCCATTACAAAAGGTCTTCTGACATACAAAAGCCCATCTCTATGGTATAATACAGATGAAGAAAGCAACATGAGTTCAAAGAGTCACAAAAATATTGTTTCACTTAAAAAGTTCGCATAAAGGGGTTGGGGATTTAGCTCAGTGGTTCCGCCAAAAAAAAAAAGTTAACAAAATTTTATTAATTAGAGTTCTGGTCAGAAGTTGTCATAGTTCATTTTCAGATGCATCATACTTGTTACCTATTGAGTAAAATGCTCGTATAAGTTGAAAATGCTAAAGACATGGTGATATGTCCAGAGTAAACTATAACTTTTGATTAATTCAACACCTTTCATTAACTAATTAAAGTTTGGTTTATATGATGGTTAAGTTTACAGGTCAGCTTGACTGGGCTAACAAGTAGGTACCTAGATAGATGTTAAAACTTGATTTCTGAGTGTGTCCGAAAGGGTATTTCCAGAAGAAATTAACATTTGAACCTATAGACTGAGTAAAGAAGATCCACTCTTGCCAGTATGGGTGGGCACCATCCAATCCACTGGGGGCTTGGCTAGAACAAGAAGGCAGAGGAAAGGCAAGTTTGCTTCCTCTACTTGAGCTGATGTATCTTTTCTCCTGTCCTTGAACATCAGATCTCCTGGTCCCTAGGCCTTTGGACTCTGGGATTTACACTAACATCTCTGCCACTCCCATCCCTAGTTCTAGGCTTTTGGCCACAGAGTGTGAAGTACACTGCTGATTCTCCTGATCTTTAGCTACTCAGGAATTGGACTGAATTATAGTATGAGTTTTCCTGGTTCTCCAGCTTGTGGATGGCATATTGTGGAACTTCTCAATCTCTGTTATTGCATGAACTAATTCCTATAAAAATCCCTTTTATCTCTCTCTCTCTCTATATATATCCTATTGACTTTGGTTCTTTGGAGATTGCTAACTAATATAGTTTACCATTGGCTCTGTATGTTAAATGTACATGGAAGTAATGGAGTATATTTATTTAGGAACATACTGTGGGTTGCCCAAGCTTGACTCCAGATTTACCTTTCCTCACTTTATTGGTGCTGTCCGTGACAAGTCAATTAAACTCTTTGAGCATCAGATTTCTCATCTATAAAATGGCAGCCTCTAATAATAGTGCCAGCCTCACTGGATTGATCTGAGCATTGTTTGAGGCAATGCAGAGTGGCACATAATAAGCACTGAATAAATGCTACTTATTATGATTACATATCAAAATATCCCAGAAGTGGTTCAAGATCTTAATCTTCCTAATGCTGAATGAGTAGAATTTAATAATAAAAACTATTTCAAAAATAATGAAAGGGAATAACTTTGCATTGCTGATTGGAATAGAATGCTATTTCAGAGGAATCCCATTGAAAATTCAGAATCTAGATACTTACTGACCATTTTAGTTTAGATTGGAAATTACATTAAATTAATACTGATTAATTCCATTATAATTTTATCCTATTCATTAGCTGAATTCCAAATGAATGAAAGATAATAATATCTTTCCTTAACAAAATTGAACTTTGTTGACTGAAAAAGGTACTTAAAATAAATAAGATTTAATTTCTTCCTTCTGTGTATTATTACCCTTCCTTGGACTTCCACCTCCAAATATAACCTATACTTATTTTAAAAATCAGAGTCAATATTATAAACCATAAATTTAAGTAGGTGGTCTATAAGAAAACAAAAAAACATGATATTTGAGTTGAGATCACCAAGTGGTTGCTCTTTAGTCTAACTTCTAAAGTTTAAGTCAACTAAAAATAGTTCCCATAGTAAACTGAAGAGGGAAAGTAAACCAACTAATATAGGAATTAACAGAATAAACAAAGGGTTACTTACAGCAAAATATTATTATGAGATTGTAAAATAGAGGAGAAAAAAAATTACCAGAGTTTTAACTCAAGACAAAATACCTAGCTAGTTGGTAAGATCAAGACCTTAAAAAATGCAAGTATAAAAGAGAACAAAAGAACTTACAGATTTTCCTTTTTGAAACAAAAGTTGATTTCCAGCCAATGTAAAATAACGCGTTTTCCACCTTTTGATGAACTTCCACCTGACTTGCTTCTCTTTAAGTTTTCCTTCTATGAGAGGCTGGCCATCTTGATTTACAACTGTTGAGGGTAACAGAATGATCAAACCATTTATTTTCCATTATTGATTTGGCAAGTGATCAAAAATGAGAACTGTACAATGAGCCAGATTCTAGTAAGCATATTTGAAAAATGGGCTAGTAAATTGTGACTTTGGTTAACCTTTCTTCCTTTGACCCTAAAAGAATGAAAGACATGAAAACAAGAAAGTATTGAAAGTCTTCATTGAGATTTTCAAAAGCAATTAGATCATGAAAACAGCCTCTGCTTATAGATTGATCCAGATATACAGCTTTCTGTGCTCCTTGACTGGTTTCATGATATTCTGTTCCTCAGGTTGGAATAACCAAATTAGTTTAGAACAAATTTGAAATTTTGGCATAAATTAGTATTCAATGAGCTAATTTTCTACTATTGATTTTGCTAGTATTAAAGTAATAAAACATATTATCATGCTTTATGACACATGAACTACCTAGAAATATAGTTTTATAAATAAACTAAGTATATTAGCTAATTGGCAGCAAAAGTCAATGCAGCGCTGCAAAAGATGTTTTCCTAAAGCTGTGACACAAAGCTGGAAAGGCAAATACTGTACCATATATCCAACTCTTTTGTATATATTTTTACTCTCTGAAATACATTCTTTCTACTCTGTACATCCTCATCTTCCCTTAGTCAACAATTGAACATTTATTTTAACTCAAAACACTTCCTTTGAGAAATCTTTCCCAAACTCAGGCCAGAATAGCTTCCTCTTCATATGCAATCATAGAACATGGTATGTTTTCTTTTATATCATGTATCATCGTTTACAGTTTGTCTGATTAATGTCTTTCTCATTCAACAGAAAGCTCAACAAGGGCAGGGGCTTTGTTCACTACTGGATCACTAGGAATATAACACAGTTCCTGATAGTAAGAGAATCTATAAATACTTGTTGCATGAATGGCTTAATTTTATACCCAAGCATAGTGTGTATGATTGTGTATAACCATAGAATTGGAAGATCCATTCAATATCAGAAGTTGAGAAGCTAAACTAAAGAATTTCATTCATTTTACCACTATGTAAGATTTACTCTTCAAATTTATATTAGAGCATCTGATTTCAGTGTAGAGGGAAGATCCATTCAGAGTAGGACAATATTTATTGGTATTCATTTATATTCAATTTTTGTAGCATTTTGAAATTAATGAAATTTGTTCCCTTGCTTTGGAAAAAATCTGGACAGTACCTATATGACCATATGAATATAACGTGTCTTTTCTACACTGTCATATTTTTTTCTGGTGTAGGTCAAATAACTACCTCAGAAAGGACGAGTGTTCATTTTAACAGAGCACTTTCAGGATAAGAATAATTAAATGTGTTCTTTTTATAAACAAAGTTCTATTAAGGTTAGTTTGGGTTGTTTTTTCCCTTTTATGTTGTTTTATACTGTGTGGTAACCATTCAATTAGTGGTCTAGTGTTGTCTCAGTTACTTTTCTCATTGCTCAGAAAAAATATCCAACACGCAAAGTTAAAGGATGAAAGATTTATTTCGGCTCACAGTTTGTAGAGGCTTCAGTCCATACTTGGCTGGCTCCAAGGCAAGGTGGTATGGTAGAGGGGTATCACAGAGGAGAAATAGTCCATGGAAAACAGGCAGGAGAAAACGAAGCAGCAAGCAGCAGCTGCTACAGCAGTTTGCCTCTCCCTTTTATCCCTTCCAGGCTACCCACCTTTTGGGTCACTCACACTTAATGGGTCACTCCCATTATCCACACAGAACTATGCTAACCAATGAGTATACTAATTTAGTAATGATGCACCTTAATCAAAGTATCACACACTTAACCCCAGCATCACACACTCTATCCAGACACCTCTGAAAAGGTCCGCCTATGACTGCATCCAAACCATAACAAGTGTCAATTTCAAATTAAGGCAAAGAATGGAAAACACAAATCAAATATCTTGTTAGGTAGTGATGAGGGCTATGATTAAAATAAAAAAGGGAATAAGTGAGTTGGCGGGTACACATGCATTTAAACTTTTAGGAAAGACCTTGGACATTTGAGGCAATATTTGATTTGATATCTCAGTGATGAGATGTGGCTCCCCTCTTCTAAGAAGCTCTGTGGTGGGTAATACTGTTCAGAGAAGAGGGCAGAGAAAGCAGGAACTCAAGATTTTCTAACTGGTAATCAATATCAAGAAAATTATTTCACTGTTCTCCCTGTTTTACTAGGAACCATTAGCTTAGAGCATTCTTAAAACTAGTAATGCTCTCTGGAAATACAAATTTTCCATAAACTTAGTGGTTGTTCTTTTGTGCCACCTCCACACTTTGCAGCAAAGGCATTTATGACACCTTGTCTTCCTCTGTATCACACAGTCTCTGAAAGCAAGAGCAGCCTCAATGCTGTCTACTTGGGCTGGGTTTCAGCAAATCTTTATCAACAGCAAGCTGCACAGTTACAAGGGAGTATCAGCCCATCTAGGAGGAAAGAAAGTTTCAAGAGAAGATTCAAGAGGGAAAAAAAGCAAAAACAATTAAAAAAGAAAACCAAAAAAAATCCTAAGCAAAAAGTAAGATTTAAAAAATTTTAAAACATTCATTTTCTGTTTTCAAATTAGAAAGAAATTGCTAATTTAATTGTGATGTTCAAGGATCTTGAATATGATCTCAGATTTAGATTCGAGTTCTCACAACTACAGTTCTCTGGTCAGCTAAGAGAAAAAAAAAACAGTAGCCTTCTCTTGGTCAACAGGGATGTTGAGAGGTCAAAAATCAAAAGGATTAGCTGCTGTATTTTCCTCAAAGCAGATTCAAAAACTTTTGGGTGGGAGTTGGAGATCAGGGTGGGAGAAGTAGAGGTAAGAAATGAGGTGTGACATCCTAGGGGAGACCAATCCCAAAGAACCTTGGGCATCAGGCAAAGTGGAATCTAATGCTTTGTAGTATGATATAATGAGAAACAATTATCTCTTTTATCTCAAAAGCTTAAAAATTTAATAATTCAAACTCTATAACTTATTCCAAGACATACTATAATTCTGAATATGTTTTTAACCAATTATAATAAATTTAAACATAGAATGGCATGTTTACTCCATACTATAATATGTCATACAGGACTGTACAAAAACTTTTTCTGATGTAGACTTATAGTTTATAGTGGGGTAAGGGCACTGCCTTTGGAGCCACACCTGAATTCAAGTCCAGAATCTGCCACTTATCAGCTTACTGGTCTTTGGCAAGTTATTTAACTTCACTGAGCTCTTCTCTAGAGTTGTTACGCTTAACAATGGGGCCAACAAAAATGCCTGCAAGGGCATATGGCCACTGTGACAACTGGGGGCTTAAATCCAGCCTGAATTTTTCTAGTTAAGTATACATGCCTGAGTAGACTACATCCATCACGAATAAAAGCACATAAAACTACCATAAAGGTAAAACAATGGCTTTGTTTCATTAATTTGATCATAGCAAGAGATCAGTAACTAGCAGCTATAAAATAATGATCATAATTATGTGAAACATAAAATAATTTTCATCTTTTTTATGGTAATGATGAACTTTTTATGGGTTTTAGAAATACCATGTCCTAATGGCTTTAGGATAGGAACCACTGCCCTCTCACCAATTAAGATTGTAATGAACTGGGTGTGGTGATGCACACCTGTGATCCTAGCACTGAAGGAGTTGAGGCAGGAGGATGGCAAGTTCAAGCCTGTATTGGGGAACTTGGTGAGACCTTGTCTCAAAATAAAAAGAATTATTTATGGTGATATAAGTCAGTGGTAGAGTGCCCCTTGGGATTTGTTCCTCAGCACCACACACACAGACACACACACACACAAACACCCCCCCCACACATAATAATAATGAGACCTTACATAAAAGTAACAGGAATAGTGAGAGAATTGCATGAGACAGTTTCAAAGTCTGCATGCTTTGAACTTGTACTTTTAATAAAATGCAGGCATCAAAGGCAATTCAAAGTCCCTAAAGTTGAACTTTTTTGTGTGTGTTTTTTCCCCCATTAAGTTTATTCGTACATTTTAGGTATAAAATACAGTTACATTCATCATTGGGATCTTGTACCTTTACATGAGTATCTTGGTTCTTATTTTTTCCCCTTCTCCTGCCCTCGCTTCAACCCCTCCACCCTTCCCTATTTGCAAAGACTTTGTTTCCATTTTTTTCTTTTCTCATATTTTTTCCCCTTCTTTCCTTTCCCCTACCCTTCCCACTTCCCCTGCTCCTTTACACCTTTTCTTCCTATTTTACAATATCAATTATACATTTTTAAAATTGCAATATCAAGATCTAGGAGACATTACCACAGATTTTACAGAATTTAAAAGGATATAGAAAGCATATTACAAAAATATGTTTTGAAATAAATTTGACAACTTCTAAGAAGTACCTTGGAAGACAAATTAATGACACTAACTCTGGAGGAAATACAAAATTTGAATAGCACCTATTAAAGAAAGTATATTCCTTGCTTGAAAACTTACTTATATGAATGATAACAACAGGCTCATATACATTTTAACTGATAAATTATATCAAACATTTAAAGCAAAAAAAGGAAGGAACACTTCTCTCATTTTAGGAAATCAACATTGTGCTAATCCTAAAACTGGATAAAGATAATAGACGAGAAAAGTATGAGCATAGATAGAAATTTGTTTAACAAAGCAGACTATTAGAAGTCAGATCTGGCAGTATGTAGAAAGTGGTTTTATTATAGGGATGGCAGTGTTGGTTCAGCATTGGAAGATGCACCCCAAAAGTCATCATTTTACCGGAGGAGAGGAAAAAGCCATATGATCCTGTCAGCAGTTGGAGAAAAAGTATTGAACTAAATTCTACAGCTGTTCATGGTAAAAGCTATCAGGAGACTAGAAGTAGAACAGAACCTTCTCAACAGATCAAAGACATGTACTCCATACTCCCAGCAAAAATGCCTTATATGAATGGAGAAGATACAATGCTTTCTCCCTAAGGTGAGGAACAAGGGC